TGAAGAGATAAGAGGAAATGTGACAAAAACTGTATCTTAGGTGTCACCAACTTTATCGAACGAATTGCAGAAACTGTTTGATGGAGTAAATGAACTTGATAAAAATTGCTACTGCGTCTGAAATCCTAATGTCTCTCCTTCTCAAAGTAAATCAAAAAAAGTTAAATTAAAAAATTACTGCTATTTGTTCTTGCACAGTTTGGATTGGATCGATTCTCAAACGTCTGCAAGCATTTAGGTAGGAAAGACTGATGGCACTGGTGTCATTTGCATCTGCAAATATGATACGGATAACAAACACACATGATGAATTAGTCGCAAATGACTGCTTATTGCAAAATTACAAATTTTCGACAAATCTACGATGTGTTTGATAATTTTTGTTACTTTTGAAGTTTATCAAAGAAATCCTTTTCAGTGGCAATCAATATAAATACGAATATTCGGTACGACAGAATCGAAAGCAACATGAAATTGACAAAAAGAATAGCAACGAATTCAGATCAGTTTAACTCTGCTCGAATTATGATCATTTTTCTTATTTTATTAATGAACTCCATATTTCCCTGGCAAATTTTTTTGAAGAGAGCTCTGGATTAAATTAATTGGATCAGTAAAAAAAAATTACTTGAACAATACATTCAATTCTTATCAACAAGTTAAATTTATCTCACTCTTATTAGTGAAGACATTTGTCGGTGCATCGTAGAAATCCGTTACAATAACATCCGGAAAATGAACATTTCGTCTATGAGAACAATGCTGTATCTTTTCTTCTGCATCTGTGATTTCTGAAAAAGTCACAGTCCAAACTCTTAGCAACAAATTAAACGAAACGATATGATGACTTCTCTAGCTAAATTTTCTTAGGATGCTTTGCAAAGAACTAATTTTGACTAGCATCATAGCACAACAAAGGAAGGCATTAAAATAAAATGACAAGAAGTTTCTAAAAACTTTCACTGATGATACAAATGGTAAACGCTCTCATAAAGCAAATAAATACTAATTGTAAAAGTACAACTGATAAGATGATTGCTTCTGTTTGGATATCTTAGTAAGTAATTAATTTTCTTCCTACCATATGGAACACTAACCTTTCGAATCGTCCAGTGTTATTTTTTGAAGTTGTTGTTGTTCTTTCTGGACAACGGTGCAATTATTACTAATATCAGAAATATATTTCACCGAATTTCTTTCGCTTTCAATGGAGTTCAAATTGGCTGACAATACTGAAGGTGATGATAATAATGAAGAAGTTGTTGCTGCTCCTACTACTACTGCTGGTGGTGTTGTTGCTGTTGTTGAAGCAGATGATACTAGCTGTTGTTCCTGCTGTTGCTGCTGTTCATTGTTTGATGATGACGTATCATGCAAACCCAAGAAATCTTGTAAACCCGCGAAAAATTTCATGGACATTCCAATACTAACACTTCAGTCACCGGATATAAAATATCAAAAAATAAGAGAAAAGAGAAAAAACAAGTAGAGGATAAAAGAAGAGAAAAATTTCCTTGTATAGAATTGCTAATCAAAAGCAAAGCTTTTGATATTGTTCTTATTAACGTTGTTGTTGATTTCTGAAAGAACAGTGACGTCATGCAAATCAGAATGCAGCAATAAGTAAACAGTAATTATTAGCAATAGTACGTTTTTAGTACAAATATAGCACGTTTTTACTTCTTTTACGTTTAATAATTCAAATAATCAGTCGAACAGTCGTCAACTGTTCGGCTGCACCACCAGCAGCAGTAGTACCATTTTTCATTTAGCTGATCCTTATTATTCAGATTTGCTAATATCTGTTCATATTTTTGATCACTTTTCATTGAATTCAAATGATTTACTTTAAAAATCTGCAAATTTTTATTCATTTTTCAACTATGTCATTTTTTGAACGCGTCATTTCGCCATAGCAACACACAACATATCTAAACTATTCATCAGTAATACGATCATTTGTTTTATTGTTGATGTTCTTAGTTCAATGACACATGTCAGTTTAATTATATTCTAGCGATAGATCGTAAATGATAATGTCACAGTAAAATTTCGAGCTACAGAGAATGAAAAAAAAAAAAAAAAGAAAGAAACGTATAGTATAGCGTGTTATATTGTAAAATATGACGTATAATACGAAATATAAAGTATACATACAACGTAAAAATTTTTTTCATGTAAAGAAAATTTTCTAAGAGTAAAAATGAAAGAGAATCCTATACAAATCTATTCGTCACTTTTCATCCTCTCACACTTAACTCTCTTTCTCCTCCCGCATTTCACTCAACCTTTTAACATTTCTACCAAGCACATCTCAATTCTTTTTCGTTTTCTAATTCAATTCGACTATTTGGTTGAAAATAAAAGGTACTTTTACAACACAATTTAATGCAGCCGATGGGAGTAAAAACTTAGTAAACAAACAATAAAATTTCTCAGTGTTCGAGTGCAAAACCAGTTAAGCCAAAATGAATTTCCTTTAGAGTGGAAATATAGTTGTTTATGAAGAGGACGGAGAGATTGATAAGATTACGAGAAGTTGCAAGTGAGGGATTGAGAGCATCGGAATAAATAGTGTAGACGATATGTAGTATAGAAGGTTAGAGTATATCCATAAAAATAAGAAAACAATAAGTAATTGACGTGGAAGGAATATGCTTGTCTATTTCAATGATTGTAGAATGTGATGAGAATGCGTTGCTGAAGTATTATGTGAAATGAATGCGTAATTCGTAAAGTTTTCGAATTAAATGCATTTAATCAGGGACAATTTAAATGAACAAGTTTATAGCTTGTTTAATAATATAATTGATAATGGTAATAATGATAACTAATAATAATAATAATATTTAGTAATAATGATAGTAGTAATAATAATTAATAATAATGATATTTAATAATAATAATAATTAATAATAATAATATTTAGTAATAATAATTAGCAATAGAATTTAGTAATAATTAGTAATATAGTGATGATTAATAGTTAATTAACTAGTTACGCGCCATCAACTCAATCATCGAAGATTTTCACGAAAATATTATGTTATCTATTACTAATCAATACTTATTACTATTATTTATTATTATTGACACTATTATTATTATTACTAAATATTATTATTACTATTACTATTATTATTATTATTATTATTATTATTATTATTATTATTATTATTATTATTATTATCGTTATTATTAATATTATTATTATTATTATTATTACTATTGTTATTATTATTATTAATTATTATTACTATTATTATTAATTATTATTATATTTACTATTAATTATTATAACTTTCTAGTAGTTTCTCACTTTAGTTTCTGAATTTCAAGTATTATTAACTTTTGCATTCATTTAAATTTTTTGATTAATTACTAAACCATATTATTCAATCCCAGTTCCAATTCCATATGGAATTATACTTTAACTTGAGTATCTCTTGTCTCATGCATATTTAAAGCTTTCCATGTTTCTTTCCCATTTTCTGCCAAGTGTTTACGTTTACGTAGTCTCTGGTCGCAATTATCCGTCGTACAATTCATACGCTAAACGTTCCCTACGCTTGTACGTCTCTATTTTTGATTTACTTTAACTACTACACTGATTTTTGAACTATTAAATTAAATCGCAGTCATAGCTCATTTAGCATCATATTATAATATTTAAAAAAAAAAAAAAAAAGAAATCTATTCGTTGTCACTGTCAGTAATTAATTAATTAGCACTATTCAAGCTAACAAGCAGAAAAGTTTGTTTGCTTTCTTTTTTTCAAATTCTCATGTCACAGAGGGCGTGTGCGTGGGTGTGTGCGTGGGTTTGTCTGTAATTACCCTAGAATATAAAATGAGAGAGATGAGTAGCCATAGATGATAAGGAAGAATCTTTTTACTTCTTTCATTGCTTAACCTTCTTGCTGCATTTTACTGCACTCCAATGTCATGCATTCTACTACCTGCACTGCATGCATCAGCCATTATGCAGCATGCATCTTTGTACTATTTCTTTACTTTTTTCTTATTTTTTCAAAATTCAAATTGATATATTTATTTACTTGTTTATCGATCTATTTATATTTATATATTTTCCACAAATATCCTTTCTCTCTCTCTGTGTATGTGTGTGTATGAGTACTCAGTTCTCATCATGATACACTTTGAAATACATTTCGCTCTTGAGTAGGAGGTCTTTTTAAAAAAAAGCAGTGCAATGCCGAGAAAGTAATGTCTACTCTATTGTCGAGAGTGACTGTGACACACACACACACATTGACATACAAGACATACTTCGAGTGGAAAACTATCTCAACATTTGTCAAAAAAAAATCGTTGAATGGATCAATTTATCAATTTCGATGGGATGTATGAGTGTATGTGTATGTATGTATGCATGTGATTGGTAAATGTTGTGGACATTCACTCTAACAGCTAAGCATACTCTTTGGCTTTATTCTCCGTTCACATTTCCGATGCGAATCGAACGGTGTCTCAATTTTTTGGAACACACTGCGGTGTCATCATCATTTTATTCATTGCTGTCCTTCATACCATCGTCATCATCATCACCATCGTTGTTGTTGTCTTTGTCCTTATTGCTGTCGTCTCCATTGTTGTTTTGTCCTTGTTGTTGTCATTGTCTTTGTTGTTTTCGTTGCCGTATTGTTGTTGCTGTATTGTTGTTGTCTTTAATGTTGTTTTGTTCTTCTTATCATTACTGATATTGATGTGATCATTTATCACTGCCATCGATGATAACATTGCTATCACTAAACAGCTGTAGCTATTATCACTATTGTTATTGCTATTGCTATTGCTTAGCTTCCATTCAATCATTCCCTTTTCATGTGACACAATGACGGATGAAATTTGCATGTTGCTGAATTGAACAGCAGATGAAATGGAGAAATGTGTTTTGAATGAGTAAAAGGAAAGAGGAGAATTTCTTTTTCATTTCCTTTTGAAAATAAAAAGGATAAGCGACAGAGATAAAATAAAGAGAGAGAGAGAGAGAGGGAGGGAGGGAGGGAGAGAGGGAGGGAGATGTTAAAAGGGAAAAGAAGATAAAAGTATACGTAATATGTTCAAAGCATTTAAATGCTCTTTTTTTTTTCCATCCTTTCTCCATCTCTCCCTCTCTCTCTCTCTCTCTCTCCCCTCATATTAGATAATTTCTTGTTTTCTTCTCTTCCTCTCATCCATTTATTATAGAAATATTTATGTTTGTATATATATATGTGCTACTCCTGATAATGATGATGATAATTTGAGTATGTGTATGTTCATCACACATACACATACACACACATACATACACACACAGACACAGACATACAAATTCCTCGTTCCTCTTTTATCTTACCCTTCATTTTTGCCACACTCAAATTCTCTTTTCCATTGCCATATTTTAATTTTTCCTTTGTTTCGTCTTGTTTTCTTCTTAAAAATGTGATAAAGCAGACAGAGTTGGTTCATTAGCAGGAAAGAATGGATTGAATTTCCCCGCATTCTTGTGATAATGTAAATTTACCCATTACCATTTGGTTGATGGTTTCTGGTACTTTGTTTGATAAACGAAAAGTTTTTGTTTGTATGGCTTATGCTATTATAATTGGTTCATTAGGATTTATACAAGCTTATTATGTATGTCACATGCTAAAAGGTATTTTCCCATCTTCTGCTATTGTCGTCGTGTTTACCCATTGAATTTTATGAGAGCATCAGGTAAGGTAAAATTGAGGTATATGAATATTCATTCTATTACTACGATAAATAAATATTCTCAATATAGTTGTGTTATTGTGTGTGCATAAGTTTGTTATCGATTTGCACTTCTGCAATCATAAATTATTTACTTTATTATCACTTTTCATCTACTCTTTTTTTTTCTTTACAAAAAAATATTTCATATTTCCATCAAAAATTTCAGTTTAACATCACAGTATATCTATTACTATATCAATTTAATCATATATCTGTTATTATGATAATATTAATTATCAGTCATTAAATAAATTTAAATTAAGTAATCTGCTTTTTTTTTCTTTGTAAGCGATTCGTCAAGGAACGAAGTTGATGAAAAAAAAAAAAAAATCAAATTTTCTAAGTTTATTCCCTTCTTCTTTCTTTGAAGTTATTCTCGTATTCGTCGTTTCTTCATTCTCTTCCAGTACTGTTAATTTCATTAATTATTCTTTGGGATATCTTGAAGATGCATCGATTCGTACTATTATTATTCTACTGCATCCTTGATATCGTAACATATTTTTTTTTATTTAAAGACAAATCCTCCAGAAAAAAAAAAAAAAACGAATTCCCAAAAGGATATGAATTTTCTGCCATAGTTTCTCACTTATAAAATGGGATGATCTTAAGATAAAGAAGAGAGAAAGAAAAAAGTATTTCTGACCGATTTCCACAAAATTTCTAAAAATGGTTTAGATAATCAAGAATTGAAGATTTTGAGAGAAAAAGAAGAAAAGAGAATTTATTTGGAGCAAATTTACTCCTATATTATGTTAGATTTGAAATCGGTCATTGGAATTGTTTATTATAATTGAAACTGGCTAATTAAAATCGAAATCAGTAATAAAAGTTGTCGTTTGTTTTAAATTATATTTTAATCTAACATATACAACTTCGTTAGGTATTTTGAAAGACTTTCTAATTCTTTTTAAAGATATTCTCATGTGACATTTGATGTGATTTTAGCTTTTGCGACAATATAACTAATTATTCATTAATTATTTAATGATTATTAATCAAATTTTCATTTTGTATTAATAGGATAATGATACTACTCATTCGTCTGGCATTTCCTCTTATAAGGCGACAATGTGACATTGGTATTAATGGATGAGAAAAAAGAAGGGAACAATTGAACAAAATTCAGCAATTCAGCAAAATAATCAATAAAGTCTATCAGATAATTTGATTTAATCACAATTTGTATTATTATTTGCAACGGAAATTTTATTTCCCTTTTTTTTCCTTCCAAAATCGGAATAATTTTGGAAGGAAAGCGGAAAGCACAGTGAAGAAGAAGTGAGTGAAAAAAACATAAATGGCATTACCAAGATTACGAGCTAATGCAAGTATTGAAGAAAGAATGGTTCATCCAAATCATATGATTTATCAGAAATTGGAAAATTTGGTGCAAACAATGTTAGATCCCGAGAATGGAGTACCAATTAAGACTGTCAAAAGTTTCCTAACAAAAGTATACTTTTTATCTTATTCATTCCTCTTTCATTTTTATTCTTTCTAATATTTGATTAAAATTAGAAAATTTACAAGTAATATAAAAAGGTTTAAGCTATTAATTATTTGCATACATATAGGTAGAGAACATAGTTTTCTTACTTTTGTCAGATATTTAAAATAATTATTTCATGATGAAATTGTTATATTTGTACTCGTCAACAGTTTCACTCTCTAGTACCATAAAATTATGTGATATATTACTTTCCAATTCGCTATTTATGTGTTGTCACTTATTACAGTAATATCTTTTAGAGTATCACTACTATTTTAAAATAATTTTATACCTTGAAGTTCCATCGTTCTTATCTTTATTTGTAAAATAGATAAAAGCAAAAAAAAAAAAAACACCGATCTAAGAAACTTAGTTTTCTATGATTTTGAAAAAACTTAGATTTTATGATTTGAGTGGGATTGTTAATACTGCAAAAGAAAAAAAACTTCAAACTTTATACTTTTTTCATGTATCTCCTTTATTTCTTCTTCAGATCCCTTCCGTTTTTACTGGTCAAGATCTCATTGCTTGGATTATGAAAAATATGAATATGACAGATCTCGGTATATTTTTTTGCAGATTCTTTCTTTTTGTTTCCAAAAATTCGTATACTAACTGGCACACAAATAATTAAAATATGATTGCATGAGCCTAGTTTAGAAATATATCTCAAATTTGGCTGAAAATGAATTGAATGATTAAAATTTAACATCATAAATGGTTTTACCTAATGACAAGTTATGAGTATCAGTTTTAAAATAATTATTCAACTAGTTCGTTATAAGATATATTATTTTCACTGATACTATAATAAAGAAATTATATTACTAATGATGGTGGAGAATGCTTAAGCTAATATGTCTTACACAATTTGACTTTTCAAAGGAATGAAAATTGTTGAATAAAAATTTCTTTTTTTCAGCTGATGCACTTCATTTATCCCATTTAATCGCATCTCATGGCTATTTGTTTCAAATTGATGATCATGTTTTAACTGTGAAAAATGACGGCACTTTTTATCGCTTTCAAACTCCTTATTTCTGGCCATCAAATTGTTGGGAACCGGAAAATATGGATTACGGTTGGTTATTTTCTCAGCTAATATTCAGTTGATTTTATTAATGCTAATTATAATATGTGATATCATTTGTCTACTTTGGTTACTATTGAAACGATAGTTCCTCTCTCTCTCAATTTAACCTATTTCATGTGTCATCATTGTCCTAGACTATGCATATTGGAGATTAAAATTGATGCTGTCTCCAAGATCATTTAGCTTTTGAAAATGGGAATTTGTTTACAATTCGTTATGTCTAGGAAACGGTTCAATGTAGAGCATAAGTTGTCCGGAAAAACTTTGTTATTTTAGGTATATTAAATGGCCTCAGCTAATTTGACCAGTGATATGGATATATCATAAATAACAAAATTTTATCGATTTATTAAACAAGAATTTTAATATCTTAAAAATTTTTTCAACTGTTTGCAGCTGTGTATTTGTGCAAACGTACTATGCAAAATAAAGCACATTTGGAATTAGAGGATTTCGAGGCGGAGAATTTAGCAAAATTACAAAAAATGTTTAGTCGAAAATGGGAATTTGTTTTTATGCAAGCTGAAGCTCAGTATAGGTATTTATTTTTCATACATTTCCTTTTTTATATTACAACATTACCATTCTTCTATAGTCAGTATTTTATTGTTTGACGTTTTTAGCGTTCAAATGAATAGTATTGGAAGGGGCGTTATCTTTACTACACTTCCGAATCAAAACTTTTTCATTTTTTTTAGAAAAGCTTTTCCATACTACTTTCGAATATTAGCATATCTTTTCTCTTTCTATATAATTCATCAAATATGGAGTTAATCTTGATTTCGACTTTATATGTATTTACTGTAGGGTTGACAAAAAACGTGATCGCCAAGAACGACAAATTTTGGATAGTCAAGAACGTGCTTTTTGGGATGTTCATAGGCCTGTCCCGGGTTGTGTAAACACAACAGAAGTTGATTTCCGGAAATTATCAAGATCAGGTATGATGATGATAGATGCCTATTCTTTGCTCAATTATTACAGTGAGAATAAGTGGGCATATTGAACATGAGAAGAATTTTTCTATCATTTTATCACTATGCAAATAATTCTATATAGTCATACAAAATGGAAGAATTAATTCAGTTATTGATTAGCAAATCCTTTATTAGTTTTTGCTATAATTAAAAATAACTTTTAAATGTTAATAAATGTTACGTGAATTTAATTATAGGGCGACCGAAGTACAGTTCATCTACTCATGCTGCTGTTGCATCATGTTCGAATATCACTTTACCATATTCGACTTCTGCTGCAGCTGCACATGCAGCTGCACAAACGCCTTCTTGCTCAGTTTCCATTTTAAATGGTGCAGCTAATAGTGCATCTTCCTCTGGGACAAGTCAACAAACATCACCTTATGTATCACCATCATCATCAGTGCGACACTACAGCCAAACACCTGGTATTAGACGGTGTACTCGAGTGCAGGATACATTAAAACAAGAGGTGTGTAGTTTCTGCTTGATATGAGATATTCTATGGTAAATGTAAATTTCTCTATAATCACAGTAGAATACTTCAGAATTAACTTATTATAGGGTTACATAGTTATTATGAATGTCTTAGTGCTAGACAGAAAAGATTCTTGTAAGTCGAAATTGCGGTTAAATTTCATATGATTTTTATAAAGAAGCGATAAACAACTTTCTATCAGTTTTCCTTTTTATTAGAAACTATGGTTCAGTTTATTTTAGTTTCTTATTATTTGTAAAATGTGAGTGCTTTATTTGCATTGCAGCGTATCTCATAGTGTTAAATTTGTTGGTATGTTGAAAAAGGTTTTTTTTTTTTTTGTATACCACTATGTACT